GGAACATTCTGAAACCTGTGAACATGATGCGACACACGATGCAAGGTACATCTTACACACAATTCCCAATTTTCTATTGATGAATCATGGCCTCTCCTATGTAGAGTAGCAAAATCAGATGAACATTATCAAGATGCAGGTCCTTCTAAAGCGATAACATCATCTAAGCAATACCTTTGGGGGAGCTTAACTACCATACATTTTACATACGGTACAGGGTATACCCTCCCCTCTATGTGAAGAGGATCTGTACAGGAAGGCACTATTCATGCAACCTGCTCTCATGCATCTGATCTCTCTGCAGCATGCAAGTTGAGTCGTGCACAACCACCATACATCACCACGCCCCTCCTCAGTCTCCCCTAGACAGTCACAGTCAACTCTTCCACGAGCTCAGCTCCCTTCTAACATCACTCACTCCCTGCCACTCTACCAGCCTATCTGCCTGCGCCCCCCCCCCTGGCTCAAAGAGTTGTTTCAAATTGGTCAGGCCAGTCAGCTGCTGCAGCCCATCCTCCATGACTGCCGTGCCATCCAGCCACAGACTCTGAAGGCCCGTCAGCCTCCCCACATGCACCATGCCAGCATCTGTCACACTCATGCATCCTGTAAGGCTCAATATTATCAGAGAGGGGAGTCGTGTCAAATACCGTAATCCAGCATCGGACACCTTGGTTCGATCGAGATAGAGGCTTTTCAGATTGGTCAAGGACCCAATGCCTTCCAAGGCACTGTCCGAGATGTCTCTGCCTCTCAGGTCTAGCTTCTCCAGCCGTGGCAGCCTGTACAAGTGCTTCATGCTCTCTGCAGTCATGCCTGAGAATGCTGCCCACCGAAAGAAGCCCGGTTTATATTGCAAGTCTATGCCCTTGAGATGGGTCATTGTCGAGACGTGAGCGAGGATGTCATCTGAGAGGCCGTTGAGATTGGCCAGGCTCAGGCCGGTTGCTTGTGATGCTGCCTTGATTCTCTGGCGGAATTGGATTGGAGGGGGGGAAGATAGATTAAGGAGGGAATATAAAAGATCATCAAATAGTGCATGCACTGTGAGACGATGCCTTTTGAAACAACTACTCACCTCCCATGCAGTCTTTTGACTGCCCCAACTCTGGCAGATTTGCAGTTCAACGTGAAACTTCATCAATGCATCCTTTTGTTGAGCCAACTCAACACGCATCGTCATAATTGCATCCTTCTGCCCAGCATGCACCTTCATCATCCCATCCTTCTGCTCAGCATGCATCTTCATCATCCCATCCTTTTGTTGAGCCAACTCAGCATGCAGCTTCATCATCCCATCCTTCTGTTGAGCCAACTCAGCACGCATCTTCAGCATCCCATCCCTCTGCTCAGCCAACTCAGCATGCAACTTCAGTATCGCATCCCCCTGCTCAACACACATTTTTATCATCCCATCATTCTGCTCAGCATGCATCTTCATCATCCCATCCTTCTGTTGAGCCAGCTCCCTCTTCACTGCCCCCAGTTCCATCTCCATCTGTGACCAGGCATTCTTTCTATATACGGCAGCACATGGAAAGACACGTACGGAATGAGCAGACAGGAGGTCAGGGAGAGAACATAAGAATGGGTCAATCAGAGGTGGAAATGAGATGGAAGAACTAAGCTTTAAGCAGCAAGAGAAATGCTGATGATACTGTCAACAGATGGGAAGAAAATGCGGATGTCAAAACGCTTTTCGTTACATAACTCTAGATGCATGTACTGACGTTGTACACTTGATGAAAATGTTTGGAGCAAACCCGAAAATAATCCACTCGAACTTTTGCCGGCCGCAATCTCGATTCCAGGTCGAGAGCACCCAAACAAACGCGTAAAAAGACAACTCAGCCCAACTCTCAACCCGCCTAAAATCACCACACACCTTTAAAACCCAACACTACCTCCAGCACACGTTTTTCACTCGTCGTTTACGGTTTCCATTCATAACGCCCAAGTCCGAAGCATAGAAGACTGCTAGGGAGCTCCTGGACGTAGCTTAGTAAGGTGTCCCCTCACCCCAAATACACGATGGCAGCGGCGGGAAGAAAAAGCCACGAGCAGCCCTAGCAGCAGCATGGCCACTGCTGTCCTCCAAGGCATGGTTGATGGGGCGAGCCCAATGCAAGGCGTGCGCCTGCACAGTGAGGTGCGGCGGGGTAAGCATGGGAAGGGGGAAGTAGGAGCAGCGGACGGAGGGGGGCAGGGGCAAGAACTGTGAGACAGGTTCTGTTCTGAGTGCACATGAGGAGACAGATGGAGCACAAAGTAACAGGCGACAGACGGTTAGAGCTGCGATTTGCAAAAAACAACACATGAAACAACAAGAAGGTGGTTTGTAAGGAAGCAGGGGGAGGATGGGACAAGCAACAAAGGTGGGGGGAGTGGAGAAGAAGCGAGGATGGAGACAAAAGGAGCATATGGGCATGGGGCCAACTCGGATGCCAATAACTGGCTGCAAGTAAAGTAGACGTATGCCTCACCTGATTCACACCATTCTCACCCACCTTTTCTCCGTCACTGCTGCTGCCAGATTCTCTTTCAATTCCGCCACCTCCCCCTTCATTTCAGCCATTTCCCCCTTCACTTGTACCATTTCCCCCATCCCGCCCTTAACTTCCGCAACCTCCCCTTTTACTTCCCCCACCTCCCCCTTTACTTCCGCCACCTCCCCTTTCACTTCCGTCACCTCCCCTTTTACTTCTGCCACCCCCCTCTTTACTTCCGCCACCTCCCCCTTCACTTCCGCCACCTCCCCCTTCGCTTCTGCCATTTCCCCCTTCACCATTGCGACCTCTCCCTTCACTGCAGCCAGTTCCCCTCTCACTGCTGCCTCTTGATGCTCATCCACCTCCCATTCCACAGCCATCGTCTCAATGCACACTCAACCCAAGAAACGTTTTCCCACCGAAAGCCTTTTTCCTGAAAGTGGACAGGAGAAGCTGAGGAGTAAAGAAATACCAACCAGAGAAAATTGGAAAGAGAGATGCAGAAAGGCAAGGAGCAAATCGATATGAGAGACAATATATGATTATGTAAGAATGACTAAGTTCTCCATATGATAGCTTAATCACGTGATTGGTTAACCACAGTACAGTTGTACTACAGAATAGATAGGTTAACGAAAGGAAAGGTTAACCACGTGATAAGTTAACACGTGATAGGTTAACCACGTGGTATGTTAATCATGTGATATGTTAGCCACAGTATCGTCAACCAGGGACCAGGTTCACCTAGGATCACAGGTTAAACTTGGAAAGAGGATCATCAGGAACACTTTTTGTCCACATGGGCCGAGCTTTACTGGCGTGTAACACAACATTGAAGGCTTCAATATCGGGACACGAGGTTTCGCGCACCAGCAGGGCAGGAAACAAGCTTGCGGACGAAACCAGAAGTGCCTCAAATTTGTAATGGAATGTGCAGTAACGAGAGAATTCGAAAGCCGATTCAGGTTACACGTGTTTGGCGAAAGAAACGCATTTTGAATGAATTTCGCGCATCCAGATCCAACCCCACACCCCCAGGCTCGTTCATAGCTCCAGCTGTCGCCGTGCTCTCTTCATGCACGCGCTTCTCCTAGTCCCTCCCGCATCGCATCCCGCACATCATATGATCTTGCTCGCCGCAGCCGAATTCACGATCTATAACGTCGGATCTGGTACCTACGTCCTCAGCCTTACGATGCCGCGACGTGATGCTCCTCGGTGCAGGAACCCACCGGCGACAAAGGCCTTCGCTGCGGCCGTGTAAGCGAATGCTAAGAAATCATGTCGTGAACAGCCATGGGCGAAACGCCAAGAAAAGTGATGAGATACTTATTCCCTGAATCCGTACATGAAATGCGAAAAGACTCGTCGTGGCGGTGCGAAAACGACCATACGAAGACATGCACGGCGGGATAGAGATGGGCGCAAGGGAGGGTGGCGTGCTCCTTCCGCCATGTGGCGACGTGCAGAGGGGGTGGGTCCAGTAATGCCGCATACCGCCATGTGTGCTGCGACAAAACGAATGCGATTCGGTCCTTCATGATGTTGGAGTGGTTCGTAACAACCACACACGACTAATGGTAAATCCTGGGGTTAAGGTAATTTGTGTTTCGTGAGATGCGGGTTTTTGTGCTTTACGTGTGAGTGTTTACGGTTCGTGAATCGCCTCATTGGTTCATAAGTTATGTGCGTTTTCGTGAGGGTTTGTGTTTGTGAGAGTTCATGTGAGTTCGTGTGTGTTCGTGTTATTTCGTGAGTTCCGAAGTTCGTGTTTGTTCGTGAGTTTTCGTGTTATGTGTGAGTTCCGAGATTTCATTTGCGTTCGTGTTATTTCGTGTGTTCTGCGAGTCACGAGTTTTTGTGTAAGTGTCGTGAATGTTCGTGAGCCTGTTTCGTGAAGTGTTCGTGAAATTCCGTGAGTTTTCTGGTGAAGTTTGTGAGGTGCGTTTTAGTGTGTTTTAGTGAGTGCATTCGTAATTTTGTGTTTGTTTATGAGTGTTCTTGGGATTTCGCTCGTAAGTGAGTTTGGTCAAGATTTTGTAAGGGTGCCAATCACTATTGTGATTTGGCACATTCGTGAGAGTGTGCCAGCATGTGCACACGTGAGGCCTGAGGCAGCAAGTGGATTCGCCACACGCGCGCGTGGTGTGTGCAGGTGGCGCGAGGGAAAAAACCGAGAAAGCGTGGGTCCAGGTTGGATTTCGTGGGACCCTCGAGTGTTTTGGCTGCATTAACCGATGAGAAAATTCGCCAGGGTGTTTCACGAAGTGTGCGATTTACTTCGAAGTTGATGCGAAAATTGCGAAGGGAAATTCGACGATTTCGTAATTTCGTCGCGTAACTGCGCGATTTCTTCAGGAGATTCTGTGAGCTGTCACGAAGCTGTCACCACGAACGGCCACGAGCGTCCACGAGTGTCCACGAGCGTTCGCGAGCAAGTATGGCCCATAGGAACAAGTGTGGGCGAGCATGTGTCAACTGATTTCGCATGGTGCAAGGTGGCATTTCGGAGTATGTTTCCAACTATTATTTCGGTGGGCTGTTTGCTTTTGATTTCGGTAGGTTAGTATAAATCATTGCTTGTTCTTGTTTGTTGTCAACCTTTTCAGAATCATTCTATGAGAATTGGTTCCTCTTTCAACGTATTGACGTGAAGAGTATTCTGGAGGCGTGATATTGGATCAACGAGACGCTGCGCATTTTGTCGTGAGACCGCTCTAGTGCGTATACACTTGGAAAACCGTGGACCCCAGGACGAGGGCCGGTAGAGATCACTTAGTGTGACTTAAGTGGTGCGCATAGAGTAAACTAAGGGCTAATAGTAGCCAACAAGTGGTATCAGAGCTTGTGAAACGGCGTTGTAGCATTCTTAAGAGCGGACGAAGCCTTCAAGATGACGGGTGGTCAATCGGAGGCTAGTCCGGGCTCCTCTGAGAGCATTGGAGATCCCCAGGTTAAGGCTCTTCTGGAGATGCTAGCGCAAGGAGTGGTGGTGACCAAGCCCACCATGGGGCTGAGCGAGGCTCAACGCTTCAACGAGAAGAACTACAGCACGTGGCGTTTAAAGTTTATACGGAGGGCGAAGGAAATCGGCTTTTGGGAGTACTGCCGGCTGGATAAAGAGGGCGAGGCAGCCGCGCGGAAGGCGAAAACGGATGAAGAAAAAGCGGCATACAAAAGGAGGAGTGAGCAAGCTTTCTTTCAGTTGTGCCACTAAGTTTCTGATGGTACTGCTGTGGGCATGGATCAGTTTGCAGAACATGAAGACCCTGCACGACAAGCATGGGCGTACATGGAGTCGGTCTATCTAGGCCAAATGGAGAGCAACATAGCTGCGGTGCGAAGGAAATTGTTGCTGATGAGCATGGAGCCGAATCAGAAGATCATTGACTACATCAACCTCGCTAGGAGCTACAACGACGACTTGGCTACGATGGGCGCGGAGGAAAATGAGCGTGCGATGATGGGATATATCATCAACGGGCTGCCGAAAGATTGGGCAGGAGAGAAGCCGGCGCTAATCTGCAACCCGCCTGCAAACATGACGAGGCTACTTGAGATGCTTCAAGCGTTGGAGTTGGCACGAGAAGATTCCAAGCGGAGGGAGAAAGCGGTTGAAGGCATGGAGTTGGAGAAACCTGCATTGTTGAATGCGGCAGCTGCGGGAAGAACCTCGGGAGCATGTTTCCAATGTGGTAAGATGGGGCACCGTGCGTTTGAGTGCGTGGAGAACCCAAGAAGCAGAAATTACAAGGGGAACGGAACGGAATGGCAGGAGAGACGCGGATTTAGCGGCAAATGTGACTATTGTGGCTGATATGGACATCGGGCTGCGGAGTGCTACATCAACCCGAACAGCAAGTGCTATAAAGGTCCGTCGCAACAGCAACATCAGCAACAGCAGCAACAGCGGCAGCAGAATGTGGAAGCAAAGGCTAATGTGGCGGAAGTTGAAAAGGAAAAAGATGATGTCATTTTGGGGGGAGCGCATCGTGCGCATGTGGTGCGCATACCGAAGGAGGCAAAGCCAACAGATGGAAGGAAGAACATGGCGTGGTTCATGGACAGCGGGTGCACGCGTCATATGACATACAGGTCGGATATGATGGAGAATCTGAGGGAGTCGAAGGAGACTCATATTCTGCAAGGAAATAATGAGAAGCTGCCCGTGGCGGGAGAGGGCGACGTGACCCTCCAGAGTCCGTATGGGGGATTGAAGTTGGAGAACGTGCTACTAGTTGAGGATTTGAAGGTGAGCTTGATCAGCCAGTCCCAGCTTGATGACTTAATGTGCAAGATATTCTACGACAGCAGCAAGGTTTCGGTGTTTGGAGCTGATTGGGAGAAGTACGCTGACGGATACTTCAACGACGGGTTCTACGAGATGAGCTTGATAGCTCTGAACGACATGGATGAGCACTATGAAGACGTTGAGGTCAAGATGGGAGAGGAAGAGGAGCCAGCAACGGAGGCTGCTGAGATGAAGGAAATGGGAGGTACGACACACATTGAGGAGGAAGCAGTGAAGCAGAACGTGGAGATGAATGTCAACACCGATATAGCGATGGTAATGCTTGAAGACGGAGGTGTGAAGTTTCAGGGCGCTGAAGCTGCAAAGGAAGGGCTTGTGGTGAAGGAAACGAAGGGGAAGGCAACTCCAAATACGAGAGAGCTGAAGGATAAGACATGGGTTGAAGACCACGGGATTCAGGAAGTTATTGGTGTTCAGAAGCCGAGGCAGAGTGCGAGGCAGAAGAAAACATTTCAAGGTTTGGATGTCAAGGCGCTTAACTTCAAGCCGCGTAAGCAGCGGTTCAAAGTGCTGGAGCTGCGGGGGAGTACGAAGCCGAGTTAGATGCCAAGAAGCAGAGTACGTGGGGTGTGTGGTTGCCGAACCACGGGGGAGATTGTTGGAGTGGTTCGTAACAACCACACACGACTAATGGTAAATCCTGGGGTTAAGGTAATTTGTGTTTCGTGAGATGCGGGTTTTTGTGCTTTACGTGTGAGTGTTTACGGTTCGTGAATCGCCTCATTGGTTCATAAGTTATGTGCGTTTTCGTGAGGGTTTGTGTTTGTGAGAGTTCATGTGAGTTCGTGTGTGTTCGTGTTATTTCGTGAGTTCCGAAGTTCGTGTTTGTTCGTGAGTTTTCGTGTTATGTGTGAGTTCCGAGATTTCATTTGCGTTCGTGTTATTTCGTGTGTTCTGCGAGTCACGAGTTTTCGTGTAAGTGTCGTGAATGTTCGTGAGCCTGTTTCGTGAAGTGTTCGTGAAATTCCGTGAGTTTTCTGGTGAAGTTTGTGAGTTGCGTTTTAGTGTGTTTTAGTGAGTGCATTCGTAATTTTGTGTTTGTTTATGAGTGTTCTTGGGATTTCGCTC